GCCACTGTACTCACTATAGCTCACAGCATGAAATATGTTGTAAATTGTGACAAAATTATGGTTGTGGATAGAGGCAAGGTACGTGTCAGGACCAACAGAACTAATCATATTATTTACACAATTTAAGGTCTGTTCTGAAAGATCAGTCACTAATCCTAATAAACTGAGAAAAGTATATGTTTTATTCGTTGGTTTATTTGTGGGTTATTTAAGCATATTATATCAACAGCACATTAACTAAATATAGGATATGAGGGCACTAATGACAAGCGACTGGGAACAATTAAGGAGGAGGTGGCCATGATGTGCTTTAAAGTATTGCACCTGCATTGGCATGGGGGTGAGGTTTGAGGACAATCATAAAAACCTGTTAGGATAGAGGGTGTCTGAGCCAAGATTGCTTTTACTTGCCCTGTTTTAAACCTCATGTAATACCGTATTTATCCGAAAGTAAGCTAACTTTGAATCTAAGATGACCCATTCACTAAGAAGTATGTTTGCACGTAATATGTTGTATTATGTGCTAGTTTCATACTACATATTAGTACAACAAAACGCGAAAAATAAGATGCTTTACATTACATTTATTAATTGTTTCCTTCATTGTGATCATGAAGTATCTATCTAGTCTTTATCGAGTTTTATCAATTGGTCTCACTGTCTTCACAATTTCCAACTTTACCACCCCACATTTGCCATTTCATCACTTTCACCACCAGTTTCCTGAACTTCCTCCTCATCCTCCCATAAAATATCCTCCTCCTTTCCAGCCATTGCATTCGAAGTACAGCATTGTTTAAATCCTTTGACTGTCACTTCTGAGCTGATCTGTTGCCATTATATTTTGATCTACTTCTGCAGCAGTGTTATACCAGGCTTCTTTATTTTTTCAGTAGGTGTCAGAATATGTTTCCTTGCCAAGAGCCATTCAGAATAAGTTGTTTAATATAATCCTCGAATGGTTTATACACTTCAGCAATTAGAACCTATAGTCGAAATGTCATCCCTCCAGACATGACCAAGAGGAGAGTATTCATTGCATAAATCACTGGTGTGAAATTGCCTTTAAAAGCATCTAGCACAAGCAGCTGGCATCTGCTCCTTTGGCAAAGTCTTCTGATTAAGTATCACACATGGTGGTAGTTTCATGCCATCTGCCGACACTGTCAACATTACGGTCATTCACATCTCGTCATTGCCTGGTGTTTTTATAAGGACAGATCCAAGAATAGAAAACCATCTTGCATGTGTTTCATATCTAAAATGCACCAAGGGAAATTCAAAGAAGTTTACCCATCGCAGGTTTTCACTCAAGCATTTTGTTTCTTCATGTACTGTTAAAAAGTAGCATCAACTATAAAAATGTATGATCTTCCTCTGATTAAGTTGTAAAACACTGAAGAACATCTATATATATTTTGCAAGAAAATCCAAGATGACCCCTTCATTTTCAAATCTGAAAATTAGGAAAAAAAATCTCATCTTCCTTTCCAGTAAATATGGTATTTATTTCTAGCAGCCATTAATGTAATGCAATTTCGTCATGACTGAAAGCCTAACACACTTATACATTTATTTTCAATGTTATTTTCTCTGTTTATAATGCAGGTGGTGGAATGTGACACACCAGTTAAACTGTATTATAACCAACATTCGCACTTCTCACGAATGATAAGTGCATCTATGGGCTGTCAATTTGAGACAGAGCTCTGAAGACATGGACCAGTATCACAGTGTGGTTCCTAAGTAGCTGTTATGACACAACTAACAATTTGAATGTAGTCTGTAGTGATATTCCTAACCAGTGTGAGTGAGTGTAGAGAGTATTAATTGTATTAATTTATGTTTCCAACCCTTTGCATGCTGTAAAGTTGATATCTCATTTGCTGTGGGCAGGTGTCAAGTTTAAGAATGTCAGTAGAAATATATCTGTCTCTGATGAAAGGTAAATTAAGCTAAGCATGAAAAGGGTGAAGTGACTATTTGTCATTATTCTCATCACTTCGCAATACAGAGGACAAGGCAGTGTGTGCCTCCCTGCTGTGATAAGTTAGTAGGTAGCAATGAAGTAAGCATGTAATTCTCCATTTCTGAGAACTGTGGAAAACTGTGCCACAAGGTTCTCATACTATATCACTCTATAAACCCCCTTTACTGTGCCTTTTTGTCCTTCAGTACACTAACCAGAGCTGCCGCAACCCATCACACATCCAAAGCTCTGTATTGCGTTTCACAATATTCCCCTTCTGAAAACAGATAATGCTACTGCAGTTGTACACCTCAACTATGTATGTAAATGGAACAGAACACTTCAAATGAAAGATGGCTGTCTTCTGGCGATCACCCTGATGATGGAGGCAGCAAGGTCCTCTGAAACATCAGTAAACTTCTACCAGACTACATGGCGCAGCAACCCAGAAGACAGCCATCTTCAGACTCACCGCCATGAAAACCTCAAATCCTACAGACTTCAAACTACATTTTTAAAGTTTTGACATGATCAACTGGCCGTGACTATTTTATCACATTTTGCATAACACCAAAGGATTTGTAGCCCTTAATTTGGGAAGTATTAAGTCATAGATTGAAGGAGTGATCAATCTGAAGTGTTAGCATTCAATAAATCTAGAAACAGTTTATTTCTAAACAAAAATTAAGACTTTTGGTGCCTGATAGTGGAACAAGGTCTGGAACTCAGACCATTGTTCAGACAGAAATTAATGAAGGGCAAGTCCTCTAGCATGAATACATTAAGCACAGGTAAAGCACCCAATACTCATTGTCAGTGTAATACCACAAGTTGAATGGTGTTAACAATGGAAAATCATGACCAGTTTTCATGTAGGAAGGATGGGTCAACATTCTTCATGCACTTTCTTTCTTTATTTGTGTGATGGAAGACTTTTCCATGGACAAACTCATGCATGTCATGTTTATCTGCATTTGGTCTCCTCTGTCTAACAGTGTCAAGCCAAAAATATACTCCCATGCATTTTTATGGAATGGTGTTTAACCCTGGGGTAAACTTTACTTCCTTCTTCTTCTTCTATGGCTCTCGGGTCCATGGCCTCCTCAATTCTCCTCTTCCATTTGGTCCTATCCTCCTGTCCGAGGCTTTGATTGAGGTTTCGAAACATCTTCCTTTTTACGGTGCAAGGTTGTTAGCCTTGCGACCAACCCCCAACCTGGAGGACCAGGGTACCTGTCTTAGTCTGACCTCTCCCCCTCAACCAATCTGACTAGGGAGGCCCTACCAGTAGCTATGCTACCACCAGCATAGCTCTTGGGATCACTGAGGTACTCAGGCCCCACCACCA